GAAAGAAAGAAAGAAAGAAAGAAAGAAAGAAAGAAAGAAAGAAAGAAAGAAAGAAAGAAAGAAAGAACAGCTTGCCTTCAGAAGTTGTGGGAGCTTCATCACTTGAGACTTTCAAGAAGAGATTGGATTGCCATTTGTCAGAAATGGTATAGGGTCTCCCGCTGAGGCGGGGGGTTGGACTAGATGACCTACAAGGTCCCTTTCAACTCTGTTAACCTAATTTAGTCTTACATCGGGAAGGGAGGGAAGGAGGAAGGAAGGAAGGAAAAGAAAGGAAGAAAGGCAAGAAAGAAGAAAAAGGAAAGGAGGGAGGAAGGAGGGAGAAGAAAGGGAAGAAGGGAAGGTAAAAGGGGAGATGACAGAGGGAGGGGAAGAGATACAGGGAAGGGGAGGAACAGAGGAAAAGAAGTAAGGGGAGGAAGAGAGAAGGGAGGGGATGGAAGCGAGAGGAGAAGGGAGGGGAGGGGCCAGGCACAGAGCCTTCCCTCCACTTACACTTTCCATGCTATTTTGGGCAGCCAAGTTGTTGTTCTGGCCAGGACCGTTGCACTGTTTGCAGTGTGAAATGTTCCTAAGGACAGGACTGGAACCCAGGAGCCTCACCTGAGAAGAGATCAGCAGGTGAAAGAGGAGACCTAAGGTTGCAAAGGGATCAAGGGGAGGCCCAGCACAGAGAGAGGCCTCCAGACCAGCAAGTTTTGGGGGGCCCAGTTTCCCTTTCTTTTTCGCTGCCATTCAAAGAGGGCCGCCATCTTGCCTTCTCCATTCCCTTCCCCGTGCAGGAAAATGGGCCTCTTCAGCGATGTTTACTACTGGCAGTCCTCAAACTTACAACGCTTCACTTAGTGGACCGTTCAAAGTTACAACGGCACCGGAAAAAAAGTGACTTACGGCCAGTTTTTTCCCCACACACACACACTTACGACCTTCGTAGCATTCCCCACGATCACGGAAGCAAAATTCAGGTGCTTGGTCTTAACTGGTTCATATTTATGATGATTATTTTTATGAGTATCCCCGGGGGGAGAAGGGGTGTCAAACAAGGACGCCCGATGCGCTTAATGACCGGGTTACTAATTTATTAGAGATTTACTTAACAGCTGAGACAACAAGGCAGGCCGTAAATCGGGACAAAGCTCAACTTAACACACGTCTCCCTTAACAACGTTGGGCTCCATTGCAAGTCGTAAGCCGAGGACTCCCTAGGCTAAAATTTCCTGCCACGAATAATACGGGGGCCGCTGCAAACTCCCCGTCGCTGACAATTCAGCAACCCGGGTCTCCTTTCCTGGAACCTGCAACGCATGGTTTCTTTTCAGGATCCCAGAGATGTAGAGATCGAGTATAGCGGGTCTCCAAACCTGTGCAATTTTTAAGCCTGGCAGACTTCAACTCCCAGAATTCCCCAGCAAGCAAAGCTTTTTTTTTTTTTAATATGCCTATAGAACAGGGGTCTCTTGTGAAAGTATTAAGATGTAAGAACTGACCAGCAGTGAATCGCTGCTAGATGCTGTGAATCTGATGTAAGTCTGGCTGGTGTAACAAGAGCGATTCAGCAGAGTATGGGGATTTCCCTTTAAGACTGGAGAGTAAAGATCCCTTTAAGAGGTGTACATATAAAAGGCAGCCATTAGAGGTCATGATTCTCTTTCCTTGTGATCCGTATTCGGTGCAGGAGTTCTCCGTGTGTTAGGAAGAAGAAAACTTGCTTGTAAAGGTATTTTACTACCACGTGTATATCAGTGATGGGATACAAATAATTTAACAACCGGTTCTCTGCCCTTATGATTTCTTCCAACAACCAGTTCACCAAATTGCTCAGAAAATTTAATAACCGGTTCTCCCGAACTGGTGCGAACTGGCTGAATCCCACCACTGGTGTATATTATCTGTATATACCTGTTGTACATTAAACCCCCGTTACTGTCTTAAAGTCTTTGTGTGCTGGGTCTCAGAAAGTGTAGTCACGCTGCCAAACGCACTAACATCTCCAACCTTGGCTACTTTAAGCCTGGCGGACTTCAACTCCTAGGCTTAAAAGTTGCCTTAAAGGTTGGAGACCTCTCGATCTAGTAGACATCACAAAGACATCCAAGGCAGGAAGACGAATGGCGTCACCTGCCCGGACCCTCAGGCCCCGTGGGGAAAAGCGGCGCCCTCCCCTCCCCCTTCCAAACCTTTTGGGTCCCAGGGACCGGTTCCGTGGAAAGAGGTTTTCATGTGCTGCCTCCATTCCCACGGATGGGCCTCTGTTTCTTGGTGTGGACCCGTTTCTGGCATGCCATGGGAATTGGGGACCCCGGGGGCCAAGAATCAAGCCCACTCCTCAGGTTGAGGCCTCGCTCCCCAGGTGCTAGGATTCTACTAGGTCGGAGCGGTTCGAGCGAACCGGTAGCGAGTAATTTGGCCCCGTCCCAACTGCCCCTATTCTCTCCTGTGCTTTATTTCCTGGGTGTTTTTCTTTTCTTTAGCACAGCTGTTTCACGTGGCAGAACGGTTTGCCGCGAATCAGCTGTTTTACTCACCGGGGATGCAGTAGAAGGCAATTCCGTTGGAAATGGGCTTTTTTTTAAACGTAGAGCGCGCTGACGCGCACGCTCCCCGAACCAGTTGTTAAACCAGCTGAATCGCACCACCGTCGGGTACCCCAGATTTCGGACTAACCCAGCGATCGGAGTCATCCCAGCCCCCCCCCGCCCCAACGGCTGCCCCACCCCCGCCAGACCCACCCTGTTTCCTTTGCAAAGCCCACCCAAGGGACCCCCCACCTGGAGGAGTCAACCAAGGCCCAAAGAGAAGCATCATTTACCGGCAAGGACTTCATTTTCCGAAGGGGAAGCGATTCTCTGCGGAGGAAAGACAAAACAGACAAGAGTTAGGATTTCTGATTATCATTTGACTCCATCAGACCTCAGAAGGACACGCACCCCCACCCCAAAAACTAACTCTGCAAGGACCACGGGATGGATGGCTTGCGTCCCAGATGGGCCAAGATTTGCAAGACCCTCAGCCCCGACCCTAGTGATTTCTTCCCCACCCCTTCCAACAGATCATACAAAGCCTGCTGGAAAGAAGACAAGACGCTCGTGAGCGGACGTGTGTCGTGCCGTGATATGGTGGCCTTCTCGCCCGCCCACCCTTCCTTTTCTCACTAAAGCGAAACTGAAACTGGGTTAAGAGAGAGAGAGAGGAAGGAAGGAAGGAAGGAAGGAAGGAAGGAAGGAAGGAAGGAAGGAAGGAAGGAAGAAAGAAAGAAAGAAAGAAAGAAAGAAAGAAAGAAAGAAAGAAAGAAAGAAAGAAAGAAAGAAAGAAAGACTAACTAACTAACTTTTGGTTTTTAAGGCAGCTAGCAAAGAGACTGAGAGATCATCCGGTGGCAAACCACAGGCACCAAATTTGAATTTTGAAGAGTTTTTGGGTCACACCCGACACCCTTCTCATCTCTCAGCTGGGGAAAAAATTAGTCATCCTCTCTCCTTGCAGAAAATAGATTGTATTTCTGGAGGAAAATCTATTCTCAATCACTTCCATCCCAAAATAGTGCCATCCAGAATACAGAATTAACAGAGTTGGAAGGGACCTCTTAACTCAGAAGTTGGAAGCAACCCCCTGCTGAAGCAGGAGACCCCTAGCCTAGACCATTCCAGACAAATCTCTTCTTAAAAACCTCCATCGCACCCACAACTTCTGGAGGCAAGCAGTTCCACTGGTTCACTGTTCTCCATTGTCAGGATAATTCCTCCTTCGTTCCAGGTTGCTTCCCTCCTGGATTAGTTTCCATCTGTTGCTTCTTATTCTGCCTTCTGGTGCTTTGGAGAATAACCTAATAGATAACATAATAACAGAGCTTGGAGGTCTTCTAGTCTAACCCCCTTGCCAGGCAGGAAACCCTCTACCATTTCAGACAAATGGTTGTCCAATTTCTTCTTAAAAACCTCGGGCGTTGGAGCATTCGCAACTTTTTGCTTTAAAGGAGAATGAAAAGGGTTTTTTTGGTTTGGTTTCTTATAGAATAACGAAGAAAAAAATATCCTGTCCAGTTTCTTCTTAAAAACCTCTGGGGTTGGAGCGCTCGGAACTTCTGGTGACAAGCTATTCCACTGGTTCATTGTTTTCACTGTGAATAAATTTCTTCTTAGTTCTAAGCTGTTTTTTCTCCTTGGCGTGTTTCCATCTACCGCTTCTTGTCCTGCCTTCAGGTGCTTTGGAGAATAAGTTGACTTATTATCTTCTTTGGGGCAGCCCTTCAAATATTGGAAGACTGCTATCACGACACCCCTAGTCCTCCTTCTCGTTAAATTAGACATGCTCAATTCTTGCAGCCATTTTTCATAGGTTTGAGCCTCCAATCGTTTACCTATCATCTTGGTTGCTCTTCTCTGCACTCTTTCCAGAATCTCAACATCTTTTTTTTTTTTTTTAACATCGTGGTGACCAAAACTGGATGCAGTGTTCCAAGTGTGGCCCTACCAAGGCATTATAAAGTGGTATTATTAACGCTTCATGCGATCTTGATTCCATCCCGCTGTTAATGCAGCTTCAAACTTGGCATTTTTGGCCGCTGCAGCTCAGGGCTGGGTCATAGTTAAGGGACTGTCCACTAGAACTCCAAGCAAGATTGGCACCAGGGCATTGTGCTTTTTCCACATATGGCTCCTATTTGCATGCACACGCGCGCACACACACACACACACGGCCCCCTCCCCACATGCCTGCTTGAAACCAGTTGCCAGAAACTTCCTGGCCACCCCAAGTCTTGCTGTGACCTCCCTAGGAACGGGCCTCCAACATCTGAAGATCATTACGGCATCTCCGAGACGTGACACATCAAGAGACGCGCAAAATTACAACAGATAGGGAGAAAAAAATGCACTAGTGAAGGATGAGAAAAGTCACAAAGGATGTAAAAGCCTCACCCAACCTGTGGCAAGGAAAATGCCCCTCTGTATCCTAAAGCAGGGGTCTCCAACCTTTGCAACTTCACCACTTGTGGACTTCAACTCCCAGAATTCCTCAGCCACCACATGCCAGCACATGCTACTTTATGACTTGTGGGACTACAACTCCCAGAATTCCTCAACCACTACATGCCAGCGCATGCAACTTTAGGACTTGTGGACTACAACTCCCAGAATTCCACAGCTACCACATGCCAACGCATGCAACTTACAACTTGTGGACT